TACTTTCTTCTTTTTATTCAATCTTATCTTGATTATTTAATATTTCAGATGGTGATTAACCTTTTAACTTACCTTTCCTTGTGAAAATGGTGTGTTTTTCCACTTCTATATCTTTCCACTCTTATTTTTTTTTCTAATTGGTCTTTATTTGTTCTTGTTGTGTCTATCTAAATTGCGACGTATATGTGTGATTCCTTGAGTTTAATTTAATTTTCATCGGTTAATCTTCTTGAATTTGATTTTTAATGGTGGGATACTAGATATTTCTCATTTTAATGGAATCAAATTGACATTAATTCATTGTTTTATGTTTATAGTTTGATTATCAAATAAAGTTGTCTTCTAATGTATTTCTGAATGATTTTATTGAATTTCTTTAATTATGTTATTGAATCTCTTATACTAAAATATAAATATCTAATTAGGTACGCATCAGATAGAGTGTTCATGATTATGTTAATAACCCTTTGGTTTTCAACAATTTTAACTACAAATTACTCTAAAGAGTAATGTTGTTATGGTGGAGGATATGTTAGAGGATGTTTAAAAGTAGATCGAGTTTGGTTAGACGTATCTTGGTGTATGGGATTATCAGATCTATAATAACAAGATTTAAATTCATGATCAATGGTTGAATGAAGATTGTCGTGTGATTCACCATTAGGTGAATCATCCACTGAAACACTTATAGATTTACATAATCCATGGATTAGGATTGGAAATCCTATATGTCCTCTTGGTGCAAGGACAAACTCCTTTACCTTTCAGAAGATGATGGACTCAATGTTAATAATCATATTTGACTATAAAGCATACATAACTTTTATCATGTTTGTGACTATATTAGATGTGTGGAGAGCAAGAGTAATGTTGGAACATATGAAAGACATCTAAATTAATAATGTTCAACCTGATTTGTTGAATATGAAGATGAAATAGCCTTAACCAATTTTCGATGAGGGGTGTTAGACATCTCAACTAAACATCATACTCTGATATCTTTGAATAATATAGATTTGTCTCAAGGAATTTATTGATGGTTACACTACTACAAATAAGACCTTCAACGTCGGTTCTAGAACCGACGTTGTATCAGGCGACGTTGAAAGTTAAGACTTTCAACGTCAGTTCTATTTAACCGACGTTGAAAGTCTGATAACTTTCCACGTCGGTTAAATAGAACCGACGTTGAAAGTCTTATTTTTCAAATTAAATTTTTTTATTTATTACCAACCTTTCCAACCCCTCTATTTATCTAGAAATCCCCCCTCTCTTTTATATTATATTTTTATTAGGTCCCTCTCTCTTTTATATTATATTTTTATTATTTATCATATTTTTTTTAAGTTTAAAGCATTACCAAATTATTTTTTTGTCACTGACAGGATTCGAACCCAGTACCTTAGTGTTGAAGGCTGATACTCCAACCACTAAACTACTCGAATTTTTTTATAGTAACTTACAAATAAATTATATTTATATACAAATAAATATATATCCGTGTAAATATATAAATACAAATATATTTATATATTTTGATATATTTATATAATTATATATTTATATATTGGATGTGAGGGCACGCTCGAAGGTGAAAGTGTGTGTCGAGTGGGTTTTCAAAATTTGATGCCAAATTTGAGAGCGAGTCTCTTTATATGGATTTGTAATTTAATGACAGAATATAATATTTATAATTTATTTATATAATGATATAAAATAAATTTGGGAAACGCATCATTCGCTCAAGTGACACATTCGCTCAAGCGAAAAATACCAATTTTCGCTCAAGCTAGGCTTGAACGAGTGAATTTCTGTGAGCTTTAATTAACGTATTTTCACTCAAACGAGAGTCAATCTCACTTTCACCCTCGATCGCGCTCTCACATCCAACATAAAAATATATAAATATATCAAAATATATAAATATATTTGTATTTATATATTCTATATTTATGTATTTACACGGATATATATTTATTTGTATATAAATATAATTTATTTGTAAATTATTATCAAAAAATTATAGTAGTTTAGTGGTTGGAGTATCAATTTTCAACTCTAAAATACTATATTCGAATCCTATCGGTGACAATTCTCTAACTTAAGTGAATTTTTTATTGAAAAAAATAAAAACACTTTCCGGAAAATATATATAAATAAATATATATTTACACTGATATATATTTATTTGTATATAAATATAATTTATTTGTAAGTTATTATCGAGAAAATTACAGTAGTTTAGTGGTTGGAGTATTAGCTTTCAATTCTAAAATACTGGGTTCGAATCTGTCAGTGATAATTCTCTAACTTAAGTGAATTTTTGGTGAAAAAAATAAAAACACTTTCCAGAAAATATAAATAAATATATATTTATACGGAATATATATTTATTTGTATATAAATATAATTAATTTGTAAGTTATTATCAGAAAATTACAGTAGTTTAGTGGTTGGAGTATCAACTTTCAACTCTAAAGTATTGGGTTTGAACCCTGCCAGTCACAATTCTCTAACTTAAAAGAATTTTTGGTGAAAACACATTCAACGTCGGTTCATCTGGAACCGACGTTGAATGTACTTTCTACGTCGGTTGACTAAAAACCGATGTTAAAAGTGTCCAAGATTCAACTTTCAACGTCGTTTTTTAACCAACCAACGTTGAAAGTGTATTTAACGTCGGCTCAGCGTTAACCGACATTAAATGGCGACGTTGAAAGCATATTTTGTAGTAATGTTAATGTATCATGGTCAATATAAACTCGGGAGACATAAGGCCTTTGAGTCAATTACTCTAACCACCCCATGCATAAGTTTTCACCATCTTCTAAATTGCCCTTGAACCATATATTGTACTTGTTCATAATGAATTCTTTCATCTTAATTTCTCAACTCGAGTTATGATATATATTTCTCACCTTTTTGTTATAATTTTTTTAACCAAAATATAAAGTTTTATAAGACTTGCCTTAGATTTAAATATAAGTTTAGACTCTCTCTACAAAGAAGAATAATTTTACTAAATGTAATATCCACTTATATTTAAATATAGAATCAAACTTAATATTTAATAAATTCAATAAACTAAAATTCAATAAAAAATATTTAAATATTAGAAAATTATATAATAATAACTATTATACATAATAATAATTTAAAATCAAATATTAATATTATATAATATCTCAACTATGGATAATTCTTACCATATAGTAGTTTTGTGAGAGTAGAAACAATTATTCTCACGTAAATTTAAAATATAACATTAACAGGAAAATCTCATATCAAAAAACTTATACAAAAATTTCACACCATCGAATATTTATTGGTTCTTCTTCTAACCATTTATTTTTCATTTTTACTGGATATTGATGACTGATATTCGCTAACAAAAATTGACTTATCATTTTAATAAAATTTCTTTTCCTAAACACATTTTTAATTAAAAACAATTTTTTTATTATAAAAATAACTCATTACCGTTTAAATAAACTTATACATCGTCTGCACCAAGTTTTTATCAAATGTACATATGTAATATTATACAACACAAAGGTCGTACATAAATTGAACTGACACGATAGTAAAAAAACTGTGATTGCAAAAAACTACAAAATCCATGAAATTACACTTGGAATAACAGTAGCTAGCCTCTTTTATAACTAACAATGGACTGTATATTTGAATAAATTCGATTCCAGATTTCAATAATTTCCCAAAGACATGTTTAAAAAATCTATGCTATCTCAATTATTTTTGTGTGTTGTTTTGCATGTGAATTTGAACACTTTTGCTGAGGCCACTGTTAAAAAGATGGGAAAGGAGAAAAAGTTACCTGATAATAGCATGCAGCTCCTGCAGTATATATCATTTGAATTTTATTTACAAACAACTGGTTGAAAGTCACATCGAAACGAGGGCCCAACCCAACATTATCTTCTTGTTTATTCTTCAACACTGCAGCACATTATGATTGCCAACAGCAACTGCATCCTTCATACATCCTTGTAGCTTCCACTACTTATAGTGGTGTGCATAGTGCCCCACCACAATGCTATTATGACACCACACTAACTCAAATCCAACTCTACAATCTAGCTGAGGAGATTACAGGTACATAAACACATATCAAATCAAAACTGTATCTAATCTAACCATTCAATAAACTTGCAAATCCTCAAATTAATTAACATATATAATTTTTCCTTTAACTTTTGTCTATAAAGTTAAAAATCACTATTTTTTTATATGTAATATTATATTATATTAATTAATTATTTATATGTTGAATAAAAAGTTAAGTGATCATTTCAAGTGACTCGTTACACTTCTAATATGATATAATATTAGTTTGTAACTCCTAAGTTTTTTTTTAATAAATAATAAATAAGATATTTTCTAAATATTGTATCTAAATTTTACCTATTTCATAAGGACTAAAAAACAGTAATTTTAAATTTTAGAGAAATAAATAATTAAAATTACAGAAATTAAATCAAAACTCTTTAATTTTACAACAAAATAAAAAACGTGTTTAAACTTTAAATTTATATAATAAATACGCTATTTTAGATTTTTACATCGTTCAAATATCATGTTTATGCAGTTTTAATATTTTCATCATTTGACATTTGCTCTCTCGTTTGACTTTTCATTAACGAAAAACTAGAATCACACACAAGTGATATCTATGGAATAAAATTGACACTATCAGTAATTGAAGGAGTCAAATTATATTCTTGTGATAGTTCAAAAGATTTTATTTTACACAATCGAAACTGGGAGAATAAAATAACATTAAAATCTCTTAGAGAAAAAAATAATAATTAAACCTATTTAAAAATAAAACGTATATGGAATTAAAAATTACACGGAGATTATGAAATTAGAAACTAAAATTAAAAAGAAAAATGACATGTAAAATTACAGTTTGACCCAGAATTAATGCATATCGAAGCTGGTCAAAACAAAAATAATAGTGATGGCTAACGAGAAAGAACCTAAAAGCTTGCTCTCTTCAGGGAGGTAATAGTAACGGAAGAACCCAAGGGAGAAGTTCCGACTTGAATCTCGAAGGAGTCATAGCGAAGAAAAAATTCGACAACCAGAAGCCTTGAAACCAAGGTCACGAAATCCTTCCCCGCACATTGCTTGTTCCCGAGTGTGGGAGATTCCGTTTCAGGTCCATTCGACCACAGCACGTGTTTCAGCAGCTTCTCCCCTTCCTCCCCTACGAATCTGTCCCCGACAAACTCCTCGGCCCTGTCGAAGATTCTAGGATCCTTCGTGGCGAAGGGTTGGTACCCGAACAGCATGTCCCCCTCTTTCACCTGGAAAGCGTGATCGTGGCTCTCGATCACAAGGTCTCTCTTCGCCCTCCCGAACTGCAACGGCACCGGAGGATCGATGCGGAAGGCTTCGTAAACCACGGACTTCATCAGCGGCATGTTCTCCATCGCGGCCATGGTGATCTCCCCGCCGGCGTCTCTCACGGCAGAGCGAATCTCCTCGGCCAGCCGCGCGTGGAGCTTCACCCCCGCGCGTCCGATCCACTTCATCACGTTGGGGAAGAACAGCTTCATCCCGCCGAAGGAGTTAAAGCACGTGGCGAATAGAAGATTGTGGCAGGCCTCGTCGCGCGTGATCCCCAACCGCTCTGCTTCGTCGAGGACGGTACTGGAAGAGGAGTAGAAGAAGTCGTAGAGTCTCTGGTAGTCTTTTTTGATGAGGGAGGGAGGGAGGCGGAAGGTGCGGATGGTGGATTCTTCAAGAAACTGGGGGAGGCCCAAGCGGAGGATTGGGCCAAGCTGGAAGAGGACCCATTTCTGTACCAGTTTTGGGCCGTCGCGGCCCAGTTTGGTGTCGGCGGGGTTGGCGGCGAAGAGGGACCGGGCGAGGAAGTTGAACGCGGCTTGGTCGTTTGCGTCGCCGAAGCTAGCTTTGCCAGCTGCGGCAAGGTTGGTCTCGAGCGCGTGGAAGAGTTCTTTGTACGATGCGTGGAACTCGGGGATGACATGGGCGCGTCGGGACTTGAGGAGGAAGAACATGAGCTGTTTGAGGAGGGCGTGTTTGGGCTCGGAGGGGTCGAGGTAGGAGAGGACTCTGTAGCCGCCGGTGAGGTCGGTGGAGGGCATGTAGGTTCCGGTGAAAACATCTTTTTTCTCGACCTTGGAGCTGTCGAAGAGTACGGGGAAGCTTTTACCGTCGAGGAGAACGACGACGTTTGGGTTGAAGGCTATGAAGGGGCCAGGTGGCATGTTTGTGCGAAAGACCGTTGACTGGTACTTTTGGATGCGGGACTTGAAGAACTCGTCGCGCCCTTGCTTGTAGAAATAGTCCTGACGGTCCTTGAAGGGTCCGATCACCGGGAACCCGCAGTCACCGGGGATTTTGCGGATCGGAAGCTTCGTGGGCTCCGGAGAGGTCACCGACACTGCCGGTAGTGGTTTCTCGGAGACGGAGCCTCTGATGGAGGGAACGTGAATGAAAGAGCGTTGTTTTCTTGTGGAGGGGAACTCCAGTCGCATGAATGGGGAGCAGAGTGTGGAGGACGAGGACGATGCCATTTTGGACTTTTTTTTTTTTTTTCTTTCTTTTGAGTGTCAATTTGTTGGGTGGTGTTTGGTGATGATGCAATGAGAGGGTAAGTGATTGAATTATTTATAGACAAAGGTTTGAATAGGGTGTGCGTTGAAGAGCGTGGTGTTTTGTTTTGACCTAAAAAAATGAAAGACTTTGTTGGAATCATTGTGAAATTTGTGCATTAGTTGTTTCTTTTTCCGGCGTGTCTTTCCTCTCGCTCCGTCCATGCACTGTGCACGTCTCTTCTTGCATTTACAACAACACATCCATTTTCCATTCAGAATATAATTGTCATAAATAACCATTTTTTGTTTAAATGTTGAAGTTAACATTACATATTTAGTGAGATTTGATGGCGAATTTAAAAAAATCACCTACAGTTTCACGTTCAATAGTTTTTTAAAAAAATTGTTCAATCCATGGCCCACTGTTATTTTAAGTAAAGAACAAAAAACTAAAGTTCGTTTCGTTTAAGGTAACATATTTATTTCATTGATAATTATTAATAAACGTTCTATTTTACGAGTTTCTAAAAATGAAGGTAATAAATGTAAGTGAATATACTAAAAATGGTAGCACCATAGAAGTGCTGAGTAAACATAAAACAATAACTTCCTTTAATCGAATTAGGCATTCCATAGAAGTGCTGAGTCCAGTCATGAAATGTTATTTTCCCAGTAGAAGTGCTCCCAAACTTTTTCACATTTTCTTTGTTGTCTGCATAGTCATGGATAAAATCTTCATCAATATGGGCATTGCATTTATCTTTTTTCGATATAGATAAAATAAAATAAAATATGTTGCATTAATTCAGAAATCCTTCCCCATCAATGAAAAAAATATATATTAAAATATCAGTTTCAAATAGTATTTTCTGTTTTTCTATTTTCTTATTTTGATGCTAGTGTTTGTCAAACAGTAGCTGCAGGTAGTAAAAATATTAAAAAAATGTGTGTGTGTGTGTGTGTGTGTGAGAGGTGGGTGAAGTATCAGAGAGAGAGAAAATGTTGTGAGAAAAATATTAACCAGACAACTTTAATAATTTTTAAATTGAAATAATATAAACATGATTTTATTATGCGGTAATGTAAATAAAATTATGTTTTATAAATAAATAATTTCTGTAATATTATATAATATTTCTATATCATTAGTTTTTAAATATATAACAATTTGATAGAAGAAATTATTAATAAATTTACGATGTTTATAAAATTTAATATCAGATTAATTTTTATTTATCAATTATATATCTGTTTTTTAATTATTTTTTATTTTTAAAATATATGAGTTTTGGGTAAAAAAAATTGTTTTTAAAGATACAATGGTCTGAAAGTTTAATATTATATTAATTATTCTTTTTACCAATTACGTCTTTATCTTTTAATTATATTTATTAGAGAGAAGAGATAACAAGTTATTTAAAAGTAATTTTATTTTAAAAAAATATTGAGATAATAAAGATATTAATGGAAAAACACTAATAAGTTAATTAAAAATAATGAAAATTAAACCATATATCGATTTGTGTAATTAAACATTAAAGGTCATACATTTTAAAACTATTTATTATAGAGAGAAGAAATAATAAATTATTTAAGAATATTTTGATTGGAGAGAATATTAAAAATGATAAGAATATTAATAAAAAAATTAATAAATTTATTAAAATAAAAAAATAATATATTTTAATCTAGGTAAAATAACCTTAAATTTTATATATTTTTAACACAGGGAAAAAAACTTTAATTACTAATAATTTATCTTTTAAAAAATTAGTAATAATTAATTTATTATGTATCTAGTCATGCCCTCTAAGCAAGTATAAATACGAGTATTAAAAAAATTAATGAAGTAGTAATCAAATTCAATAGCGCATTTTTTAATAACATTCTTGGGTCACTAACTTATAGTAAGGATATTTTTTAAATAATTACATATAGTATGTCATCAAATGATGGAAATTATTTTTAATTTTTATAATAATTAAACCAAATTTTAAAAAGTCATAATTAACTATAGTTTTGTTCTCTAATTTCTAATACTTTATTCCAAGGTGTACAGTGTAAAGGCAACAGAAAATGAGAACTATAAATTAATATCAGGGCAATGTACAGTACAAACCATTAATATTATTTTATGAACCAAAATTAATGATTTAAGATGTGAGCGGTGGGTCCAATTATGTTGTTTAATTTCTAAATTCATGTGCTTCAAAACTTGTTGGATTTTTCCCACTATCTCAGTTACCATTGATAAGTGTTTTTCATTAGGGTAGTGCTTCAACAAATTTGTGGGAACAGAAGTATGGGAGACAAAAAATTTAGTTTGATTTAGCTATTTTTAAATTGGTATTTCTTTTTTTGTTTTATTTATTTCAAGTAATATACTTCTTTTCAAAATTTAAGTTGAAACAAACATGAGTTCCAAGATTATCGTTTTTTCTTTTAAAATAAGTTATGATGGTTGTATATATTTTTGTTGTAATACGTAGTTTCTAAGAGTATTTTTAATGAATTAATTGTAATATTTTAAATAAAAATAGCACATTTTTTAATTTAAAAAGTTTTGGTTCCAATTATTAAAATGTGCTAAATAATCAATCTAATTAAAATATGGAGTTAGAATATTGAGATAGTTGTAAAATTTGAAGGTAATTAAAGGAAGTAGAATAAGTTATGATTTTGGATTTCTATATTAATAATTATTATAAAATGAATGAAATCAAATTATGCTAGTTAAATAATTATTTAATATATTAAATGAATTTAATGATACACCCTTCCATTATTTACTTAATAAAATTAAATATATATATATATATATATATATATATATATTAAATATAGTGTCTTTAATATTATATGCACTATAATAGGATTAATCGCTATAATTTTTTTAATGAAAATTGGTTTAATTGAATGAAAAATAGTACGTTTATTATTTTATTAATTAAATTAATTAGGTTATTGGTTGAATTAGATTATGAAATTTTATTTTAAAGGGAAAAAACTTATTTTTTAAAGGATAAAACATTTTTTTATTTTTGTAAAGAATATAACATTTTTTAAATTTTTTCTTTCTTTGTGTCATCACCTGAGTCATGTTGATCTTAGATAATGATTACTTTTTTATATTTCATCTCAATTTCACAACTTTTAATCTTCCTTTACATTTTGTATTGGAAACTTTCTTTGTAACATTTGATGATATGACACCATTATATATTTTTTTCCTTTATTAATAAACTTGTAGTTATTAATAGAGTTATTTTGCGTGGAATATATTATTATATAGCTAAAAAAATTGTAAGAAAATATCCAGTTCAAATCCAATTAATCTGTCCAATTTAAATTTATTAATTAGATACTAAAATGACTTTAGTTGTTACCAAAATATTTCTAAAAATATTTTTGCACATACTATATATAAAGAGAGAAATATGTCTGGAAAAAATAATAACAAAAATATAAAATATATAAAATGTAGATATACCTTTCACACTATTCCTCTGTTCCTATAATTTCTGTAGAGTCTTCATGATTTGAAACATCTGAACAAATAATATCATTATGGTTTAAACAAGAAATATAAGTTAATTATTATAAAATAATTAATTTCACAATAGAATATCATTAATAAAATGACTTCTTGACTCATTTTAAGGGCTACAGAATTTAGCCTATGATTCAATATGTCATGTATTTTGTCAATTTTGTTTCTTTATTTTTTGTTTTTCAAAATGAAAAAAGTGAGTTTCATATCTTCACTTTAGAGAGAATTTAGAAGTTTTAGATTATAAAAAATAAAATGTTTAGCCATATATTTCCAGGGATTAAATTCACTAAATATGTTTTATTTATCATAAAAACTCATTCTTAAAAATATAATTAAAATACTGTAAAAAATTACATTATTTTTTTACTTTTACATATACTTTTATGCTATTCTTAATAAAAATTAGTTTCCTAACTTGATCAGTAAAACTCTTTTAGTTAGATAAAATTTTTAAAAATATGATTAACGAACAAGGTACTTGGGCACTTAAAATAATTAGTTAAGAAATAATTAACTACAAAAACAAAAGTAAAATTCGAATTCAATGCAACATGCTAATAAAATAAGTAGATTTTTCGTGCATTGAAAAATAAATTAATCAAAGAGAACATTTTCATCATTAATATGAATATATTATTCTGGCATTAAACATGAAAAAAAAAAGAGAAAAATAAAAGGATTTGTAGAGAAAATCATGGACACATTTATTAGCTTTGTAATAACAACAGTTATTTTCTTATAAATGTGTAGACATAAATACTCATCATGGATGTTAACAACCTTTTTCATTGTTCTTTTCAATATTTTTATAGCATTTTAAGCAAAGTGAAATAGAGATTCTACATCTTGCTTTGCACGAAACCTAATAACTTTATGTGCAACCTGGGAACATAGACTTGTATTATAAAAGAGAAGGTCAGAGCAGCCAACGCGTCTTTTTGAATCCCCCACGTTCTAATTTAACGTAACATTCTCATTTCTCATCCTATTTCACTTGACCCACTTCCAAGTTCCACCTACAATTGTTTTAGTTTTATCTTTTGTGAATAATTATTATTCTTAAGTTGCTAAACAAGTAATTAAGTTCAAATTAAAATATTCTTATCACGTGTTAAATTCAGTTTCCAGACATATCACTTTAATTTATTAGCTTTTTAAGTCACTTGCAAGATAAATAATACTTATGGCTTTAACCCTTAGTGCCTATTTTTAATGGATTTTCACTTGTTTAATTTGGAACAAATATTCTTCTTTATAAAAGGTTATTAATCTAGGTAGTTTAATTAAAGGGTTGTTTTAAAGAATAAAGTATTAGATGATAACCATATATGACAATATATACCATGTGTCAACTATTTTATCAATAACAATTCTCACATGTATGATTCTTCTAAGATTATACCATCTTCAAACTTCAATAAATTTCTTCTTTCTTCTAATGTACGTAACAAGATCCTCTTGCCAACCAGATTTCTATTGAAGTAGGCAATTAAGCACTACAAGTATTAATGTTTTAATTGTAACAATAACTTCTTTATTCTAAACAAAAACATGATAGATTTTTTTAACAATTTTATTGCCCAAAAAATTATAATTTCATAAGACTTATGCTAGATTAATGTATTTTATTTAGGAACGAGATTGTACCGACCTCATATCCGTTATGCAGTGACGAATCTTGATTATTAATTTTGGGGAGTTAAATAATATATTATTAAAAAATAATAAATAAATATAAAAGATAAAAGAAGATAAAATGGTGAAATAATAAAATTGTAAATATATAAATAAATATATAAAATAATCATGAATTTTAATTATATGATAGTTACAAGATTGAAGAGAGATCGAAATAATAAAATTATAAATATACAAATATATTAAAGTTTAGGGGATTAAAATAATAAATTATATGAGAATTATAAAACTTTGGGGAGTCACAACCCCGTTCAATTTTCAAAAAGATGATAATATTGTTAAGATCAATTCTCACATTATATTGGTTGCTTTAGAATTATTCAGTATGATTTTATCTTTATTACTTATTTGTCCATTACGATTTTATTGTTATTACTTATTTTTAAATATATTACTCTCTTCTTTAAACATTCACGTCAAAATACTTTTTTACAAGTGAACATCACTTTTTAAAAATGCTA